TATACGACATTTGTACCTGGAGATTTCCGGGATTGAAGATTGTGGTTCTTCTGTCAGAATTTGAAAATTCGAGATGGCGTATTCAATATGGCGGACGAATATTGTGATTATGATCTGATTCTATTCAAAATTGTTATCTGGAAGTTCTAGAGGTCGGAGATTATGATTCTTTCGTCAAAATTGGTTGACTCAAGATAGCGTAGCGTAGCGACGAGTTTCGTAATGAACATTAGATTCAATTCAAAAGTGGTATCTGGAGATTTTCGAGGTCGGAGATTATGATTCTTCCGTCAAAATTGTTTATTTCAAGATGACAGATCCAATATGACAGACGAGTTTGGTAATTAGGTTTCGAAACTATTCAACATTGTATCTGGAGGTTTTCGGGATCGGAGATTATAATTCTACTCTGAAAATTTGAAAATCCTAGGTGGCAGATTATACTCAGTATCTGGGAGGTTCGGGGTTGGAGATTAGGATTCCTTCATCAAAATTGGAAAATTCAAGATGGCGGATCCAATATGGTGGACGAGTTCTGTTATTATATGATTCGATTCTATTTGAAATCAGTATAATAAGGGCGTTTTAGGGGTAGGAGATTATGATTCATACGTCAAAATTGGTAAGGTAACGAAAAATATGAGAACACTGAAAACACGTTTTTGTACTTAGCTGTACTAAAAAATACAAAATGAATAGTTGTTCAAAAAAATGAAGGAATACCCTTTCATACATAGACAAACCGAAGAGAGGAAAAAAATGAAATATTAAAAGTGTGATGATAAATACACAACATGGAATGTTCTGATTACGCATGTGCTGATATTCTCTATGTTATGTATTTATCAAAACACTTTCAGTATCCCATTTTCTATCTCTCTTCATTTTGACTTCCCATAGAAAGGTGTTCCTTCAGTTATTTAAACTACCATTTATTTCGACATTGTTATTGTAAGAGTCTATATGTTGGCTCATTATGTTCGGAATCGAAGAAGCAATTTCGAGAAAAGGAACATCACAATTTCGAAAGAAGGAATATCACAATGTTGATTTCAATCGACCAACGGAGTTGTCTATATTGATCAAGCTTTCTTATCTCAGATATCTGGATTATCACTATTTGTTTTTATGATAACTAAAAGTTCATCATCCATTTGTGTCAAGATTGGTTCATAACTTTCATCCTATCAACCTCTTCCGATCAGGTTTTTCTCAACCGTTCATTGTTTGGCGTACCTAATTCATAAAACTTGATCTTTGAAGGATGGATAGTAGAGGTACATCTGTATTGGATAATATCATGTTCGTCGACCACTAATCCTTATCTTATTATCTCAATTATTGTTAAACTGTTTTCTCTATCTATTTATTGCTCACTATCGAATTTCCTCAACACATTTCCTGCATCGCTCTCAGCCGGATATATCACTCCAATCACATAAATACGAGAGTTACACAGTACCAATATACAATCCGCATCCAATTTCTATCGACCTAACTCATCCAATTCCTAATTGAAAACAATACGTAACGGCGCCTCATCCATGTTGCAAGTCTCGAATAAGAACATCTCCCAACCTGGCAAGTAAATGTTTGACTCATCTGGTCACGTACCGAGCATCCCCCTATAATCTGGGCTGGATCACGGAGAAATCGTAGCTGGCCGAGAATATTCCACGTGAAATATGGGTCAGTGTGCAGACTCTTAAATTCTGGTGAAGCTGGAATGGAGTTATCATCTTAGGAAACAATTGAGGTGCTGTTAGAGTGGAAAGATTTGAATAAGAGAAAGTTCACATTCCTTCTAACTGAAGAGGGCTCTCGTTTTCGTCAGCATAATTTATCATCCCAGAAAACAATTGAGGATTGAGGTGCGATATTTCACTTTTTCAAAGATGCTTCCACGGGAAATGATCTTTAGAAATCTCTGCTATCATTCCACGACTAGCAATACCATCAGCCACACGAACTCGACAAGCGCAGTCAGCACATCCTTTCGTTGTCAATCTCGAAATAAGTCGAACAGCGCCATTCCAAATGTTTTATTCATCCAAGATTGTGTTGTCAAAATGTGGTCTCTTGGTATACAAGGTGTTATAGAAATAGATTCATATACAGGGTGTCCGGAAATTATGCGCAAAGAATCAAGGGGTTGATTCTGCATGAGGAAACATGACATTCATTTCATGTATATGTGGGTCCAAAATGCATTGTTTTGAACTTTAAACAAAATCGAATTTTTATGAATATCTCAAATATCCTTCCACCGAATATCTTTAAATTTCGCAATGATATTCTTCGTCATGAGGGGCTGATTTATCCATAATTAAATTGGAATTGTGAAATCCAGTGGCTTCCCGTGGACACCCTACTGAATATTATTGCCAATATGATGTGCGCCACTAATGATCAACTAAAAATACATTATTTTGGTCTTCTGAATTGTTTTGCTATTTTGCTGCTTTTTCGTGGAAAAAAATATATACCAATTCATAGTATAAATTTAGGCGAAACATTGCTTCAGAAACAGGGGTGAAATTAAATGTGTGATCCATGTCCATAGACGTAGATTGAGAATGAAGATTCATTCTCTTCAAATATTTGATGATACATGTTTGACAAACTTCGTATTATCGAAAACTACGCGTTCATGGACCGAGAATACATAGCAATCAATATACAGAGTGTAGAATCTTCAAACTCATTCTATGTCTATTACATACATTGATCACACATTCATTTTCACCCCAGTTCTTGAAGGAATTTTTCGGCACAAATTTATGCAATACCTATCTCTTTCTCCATGGAAATGAAGCTTATTATCAAAACAATTCAGAAGACCAAAGTGTTGTATTTTCAGTTGGTCAATAGGTTATGAAGATACAGAATTCAGAAAAATCAGTGGCGCACATTTTATTGACAATTATATTCGGTAGGTTGCCCCTCGGGACGCCACTGGATTTCATAAATCCAATCAAAGTATGGCTGAATCAGCCACTTATGACAAGATATGTGATGGCAAAATTTTAAGAAAATCGGTGGAAGGACATTTGAGATATTCATAATAAACCGATCTTTTTTAAAAGTTTCAACACACTTTATGTTGAAAACTATGCATTTGCGGACTCACGTACATATAAAATGAATTCCTTCCTAGTCATGTGGAATCTTCCTCTTGATTCTTTCGCAAAATTTTCGGACACCCTGTATATGTACAGTGTGTCCCACTCACCATGCTCACCATGCACTTAGCCATTTTTTTCAAATGATGGCGGACAAGATTTGGTCTGGTTCCATTCAAAATTGGTAAGTGGGGGTTTTTGAGGTCGGAGATCATGATTTTTTTGTTAAAATTCATAAATTCAAGATGGCGGCTTCCAAATAATTTTTTGTTTTTGTATAAATGACGATAACTCCGTTGTTATCAACACAAAACTATTACTGCGACATATCATCTGTGAGAGAAAAAAAAGTTATTTGTAACTAAGTCATAGTGAGCTATGACCTACATTTGAAAAACTAAAGTTGGTGCTGATATCTCAAATTCTACTAAAAACTGCCATGAGAATGTGAAATTCCTATTTGAATATTTTCATAAATAAAGAAGTTACGGAGTAGACATGAAAATGATCAAAATCTGGTTTTTGCGTATAAAACAAAAACGAATAGATTTCATCAGAATATATTTTCACATTAAAGTTGGCTTGACAAACTCCACATTTGGTGTCATTTAACCGACCTCGTATCTCTCACCGTTAAAAAGTTACCCATGGTGAGCATGGTAAGTGGGACACACTGTATATATAAATATTGAGAACAACAATATGCTTCAGTCTGAAAAACTATCAAAATATTCGATTTTTCGAATAAACAAGAAATTTCATATAAACAATTGAGCAAGAGATGATATAGAGGGTGATTCATTAGGAATGGAAAATCTCTGAAATGCTAAACACTGAAATATTGAGATTCAGCCTACCATGCCTGATGTTGCTGGTTCAGTAGGTACAGGGTTAGGGTTAGGGGAAGACTATTTTGAAATTCACCAATTACTTCGTAAGTTTTCACAGCATGAACATAAATACTTGTATGTTGCAGGTTTCCTGACATGAGGAATACGAATTTGCAACTTATTTCGTGATTGCTCATGGAAGGCGCTATAGTAGCATTCTGTTGAAGATCGAACAACACAAGAACCGTTGAAGCTAGACGATTTGAGAAGGAATACATTTTTTATGTCAAATTGAACGGGCTTTCAGATTTTCTACTTATTCTGATCATCATCGAATGGACAAACGCCATTAGCACACTCTATGAGCGATCACAAAATAATTTGTCAATTCCTATTCCTCATATCAGAAAACCTGAAACTACAAGATTTTATCAAAGTTATAGATTCATTTCAAGATGAAATTTTCTTTCCGGAACACTCTGTATCTCCTAAGCCAGCAACATTCTCAATAGTTATGTTACATCGAAAACTGGAACCTTTGGCACGATAATCACACTGTTCTAACAATAACCAACCCGATTTTTTATACGCCTCGACAGTGTTTCGATAACTATGTAAGCATCTTCAGGGGAAGATTGAAACTGTTAGGCAGAATCTCAATATTTCAATGTTTACTATCTCTCGTTCAGAGATTTTCCATTTCAAAGAAATCACCCTGTATATCGAGTTAATACGCCACTTCAAGGCTATTGAAATCCAAGTGAATCTCTTCAGGTTCTCCCCAACCTATTTTGGTGACGACTAGCAGTTGATTTTCGTTAGTTATATATTATAATTTTGTATTCTTTTCTCTCATATCTTCCAAGTGTTGCAAATTTCCAAATTCACAATAGATTTTTTTTTCTTTACCCATGCTTCCTGTCCAGAGTTATTCCTCAACTTCGAAAACACATTGTGTACACAGACAACTATAATTCATTGGTAAATAAAGCACTCAATTCATTTGCAACAAATTTATTCTCGCATTCAATTATTATTCCTAGTTTTGAAATTGAAAAAATGCTCAGATCCAAGTTTTAGTAGGTAGGTATTTATTTCATCATGTTCTTCGAGTCCATTAGATCAAGAACCAATTCTGAAATAGAAGAAGAAAACATTCTGACATCAGACTCATTAGATTGAGAAAAAATAGAGATTATTGTGTCAAGATGATTTGAAAAAACAATTATAACGGATATATGTAAACCCAAAGTCATCTCCACAACAAATGTTGTGATCGTGAGAAAATAATTTGAACGATAACGAGTTTCACACCTCCTTGTATATTATATCATATCCAAACAAATCGCCTGCAAACGCTTATGCGCCAGGAATAACTCGGGAACATGAGTGAGACTGAGTTAGACATATGACACGTTCCAAATGCGCAATTCCGTACTCATAGTCATTTAATTTTCTGCCAATAGGATTAAGAAAACTGAAAATGATACTACTTGTGGGCCACCATGTGAAAATACGTGAACTATGGACGCACCCTTCACCCTTCCTCATGAGTCGTCATATGTAATGAAGAAGAATTCTTCTTTTAAGGTATTCTGCCATTTTATGTTCGGAGTAAGAGGATCTATTCGGCCCTCCACTTCGACCCATGAAGTTCTCTTGCTTCTCACACCAACTCATATTTCATCAAGTATATCCAGCTTCTCAATGAAGCAAATTAGTTTACTTGGTGAACGATTTTTCCGAGAGACACAGTGAAATAACCCTGCCAAACAGTGGAAACCTGATTTGGACTACGACAGAGCAGGCACAAAGTATCTTTCGACAGTTCATGTCTGAACTTATAATGATTCAGACAACAGTGGCTTCAATAGGTCATCCTTGTTGATGTAGTCTAACATTTATTTGGTGACATCTTTCGAAGGATGTATCAATGCCTTGAAATGAGTCAATCTTGGTTGATTCTGCCAGAAGTATGCAACTCTTCTTGCAGTTCGAATATTCAGTGTATATCTAGCAAAACATGATGAGATGCCAATGGCAGGCACCCTCCCGTGGGAATCAAATGTTATTGCCGAAGTGGCCATGAAACATGGTAAGAAACAATTTGTTGAGTCTTTCAAGAATAATTAAATTGTTCCATTTGTGAGGTTGATTTCCTTCAATCTCTCTACATATGGATCAATGGAGATTTTTGACTGGTATATAACTGCAAAGGATATTAGGCAGCTTGACATCTCTGTCCTAGGTCTGCAACCGTACCAGAGGCTGATGATGTTTTTGTACTATCTATGAACGAACAGTAGTTATCTGCTTTCACTAGTTGCTATGAGGCAGGTCACTGTAGTACTAATGTATAGGTAGAAGATTTTTGAATGCAATGGCTTGAAATGAATATACATGGATAGAAAAAGAGGGATATATATTTAATTTACCTCTGGATCTGCTCCATACATGCAGAAGTTGAAATTAGATGCTTTCTCGCATAGGTTTGCGCCATCTGAAACAAAAATATTATACCTTAAACTTAATTTCTCCTTGAAAGTTTTTGTTACTTGAATTTTCCGGTTGAAATCAGGAGTTAGGTATACGCCTTGCATTCCAAATGAAGGAAATCAAGACACTCAAAGAATCAGGAATTCTTGAATGTGGTTCAAATTAGATAGATTAGCTGAATCGAGTGTAGATGAGTGATTCATTCACTCTGAAAGCATCACGGCAAATATGAATAGCCCTTGAACATTGAACCGGCACCAACTTGAGTGGAATCAATCTGTTATTATAATCATTAGTTTCACATCGAGAAAATTTAAATTATTTGCTGTTTGGTGCCGGAAGAGATAAAATTCACAGCAAAAGTAGAAGTCACTCTAGCCTTAGGATTAACACTGAGGCCTCTATTTTGAGCACAGGTTGCTCATAAAATAATTTTTAAGAGATTCAACTCTCGCTGAAATTGAATCTTCATGAAAAACTTGAAAAAGCGATCGAGGACCAAACTTACCGTTAATCACTCTGCATTTGTTAATTGCCGCTACCAAGAGGTCTTTGATTTTAGGATGGGCTGTGTCTATGATGAAATCATATTGAATCGCTCCATCCTTATCCATCTGTGGATGAAAATAACATCAAGTTGTGATTCAGTCTCTAGTTCGAGGCCTTAGAATCGATGGAGTTATATTGATTTCGAATTAACATTATGCGGAATTCTGAGGAAGGAATTGAAAACAGATCATCAGCTTGCTTATTATTCAATGACTGAAATGACCATCATCAGAAATTGAAATAGTATGCAAACATTCTCATTAGAAATGAACAAATTATCATTGCTCATGCTATCGATGGCATTATTATTCACTAGGAGTACTATTTTGGTAACTCTAGTGAGTAAATGAATTGTCGAAAAACTTGGAATATTAAGACATGTGACCAAATCAGCCTAAAAGTATTTTCTGCCCTCTCCAATTGAACTTACCCATTTCGCTTCCAACATGAGACATTTCATGTAGCACTGAAAAATAACAATTGATTATTTTAGGTTTTTGAAAATGTATTATTATATGTGAAAGGGTCGTTGTTGCTGACTAGTTGGAATGAAACTAGGTTTATTGGGGGATGCAAGAGAATTAACTCATGTATGCCAATTCCTTTGTAGAATCAATGTGACCGAACAAAAATTTTTTATAGTCTCCCTGATGATGGAAATATAAAATTCCCGAAGCTTGGACAAACTTTGAAGAGTACTCGTATCACTTAGCTGCATTCCCCAATAATATCAGTTTAGCTATATTATTATATCTATATCAATGATGTCAATAATTTCAGGTGATGATTCCATCATTCTATCATTTTACATCCTATAATTCATCAGTAAATTCTCTATTTCAGGAGATTTTTATTTTCATATCTTTATCTTGGGTGTTCATCAGATGTAATTCAATGTTCGATGAGGCAAATAGGAAAATAATTGTTTTCTGTTGAATATTCCGAATGAGATAATAATATCCATCAGGGTGCTTGGTTCATCAACCCACATCCAGAAGGAGGTGGTAGATTATGTGATTCAAATATGCATTGAATATATCTAACATATTTAACCATTCATGTACTTATACACAAAGTGTTACACTTTTCGAGATATCATCGCTTATAAGAAATTTGAAGTTGGATGTTACAAAAAATCGTTTTTCGGAAAACCGTGCGGAAAGTGCTCACTTTTCTATGAAAAAGTAGCATTTTTCCGGCCGCCTACGGCCTAGAATTTTGTCTACTCTTCCAAAAATCAGTATTTTCCGGACTTGTTTCGCAAATTACTTTTTTTATATTCCAACGAGCCAAAACATTTTTTTTTTATCACATTAAGATCCTATGACGTGTTCAATATCGATGAAATACGTAGTCAACTCTTCATGAAATGATATATACAATCAGATAAAGTGTTTGAAAAATCGATGATATCTGGAAATTCTCAACACTTTGTATAGCGGTATATATGGTAAAATATGTTCGAAATGTTCTACCTATCATCCCCTCCCAGATATGCGTCGGTAAACCAAACATCCTGTACATTTTCATCTGAAAGAAGATGCAAATTCTTAATTTCAAATTCTTATTGTAGGTATATACCTGTTCGACAGATGTGATTCACGTTGTGGCATATAGCCAGGAAATTAGTTTTCTTCTGTTGAACATACCGAAAATAAATTGATATTTTCATCAAATAGAGAATGTGGTTCATAATATATCTGACAAAATTCATATCAAAATATCCATCTGATCCTTTCATTTGGTAATTAATCTTATAGTTCTCCGCAATTTCTCATAAGGTTATGGAGAATGCATTGTTGATACAAAAAAAGGAATTTTGACGTGCTATTCATTGGTTAGTATTTTATCAAATGAGTATTTCGAAACAGAGCAAAACATTTTTTTTGTTCTGCAATCGGCTCGAAAGTCGTACATTTTTATTCCAAAATTAACTCTTGAAGTTGACGTTTCTCTAACTGATACAATAAAATGATCAGTTGGTATGTAGCTAGGTAACACTTTTATAGTCTAAGATAAGAGCTGAAGTTGGAGTTTGCCTCCTAGGAACTGAAAACGTGTCAGATGACAGCTGGTATGATAGCTGCTTTGACACTGACATACTCAAGTGAGTCAAAATGGTGGTAACTTCACTCATAGTTCATCGATTAGATATTAATCATTCCGATTTCAGGAGAAATAGCATGTTTCATTCGGATCAAAAGTGACTTCACTCATAGTTCATCGATTAGATATTAATCATTCCGATTTCAGGAGAAATAGCATGTTTCATTCGGATCAAAAGTGACTCTGTTTGACTCGCAAAACTAGTGTGCTCGGCTTCGCGGTCGCTCCGCCTTACGCAAATATCGCTTGTCAATCAAAATGTAACATTCGTCCTAATAAAAGAACGAACTATAATTGTGATTATTATTATTATTATTTTTATTATTATTTCCTGGAGAATTCGTGGAACATGTTATCTTCCTTGAAGAAATTGAATGCTACTCGAGGTATCTTCTTTGGGCTGAGTTACCCTGTATACTCACTTGTAATTTGGGATCATGAGGGTTCGATTTCACATCATATGCTGCATGGTCACCTGAAAATGGAATGATCGTTCCATCAAATCATTCACGGGTAGGTCAATAAGCTATTTGTCGCTGCATGTAGAGGTACATCCATATTTATTTCAATTTTTTTTTATCGCTTGTTGCGCAAGAAAGGATATCCCTTCAATGTTGAAATAACATCGTGCGTACAGGGAGAGAAAAGGGAAAGGGGGTAGGAGTTGGACTTCTTTATCATATTTTGAAATTTTTTAGTTCTTGGAAATACTTCCGCAGGCAATGAATTCTAGAGCTTAGCCGCTCTATAGAGAAACGAGTTTTGATAGAAAAGATGTGCTGACTGCGCTTGGCAAGTTCGTCTGACTGGTATTACTAGTCGTGGAATTATAGCATAGATTTCTGAAGAACATTTACCGTGGAAGTATCAATAGAAAAGTGAAAGGTCCCGACCTCTCCACGGTGTTCCAGTGATGTTGAAGTGTTAGTGCGTGTGGCATCACCCACCAGGCGAATGGCTCTTCTCTGGATGGAATCTAAGAGCATCAGAGTATGTTTGAGTGATGAGCCCCATATGTGGGAACAGTATTCTAGAACAAGCCGTATCTGTGCTTTGTGAATCATGAGAAGCTGTTGAGGTGTGAAGAAGCTTGGGCATTAAACACATACGGGAGGAAATGCAAATTTGCTCCCATGATTTATGTGATTTTATCAACGAACGCATTTCTTCAATGATCATTCTAGAAATTGTGCTTCAGGCGGTCTATCTCCAACAACCTAGTTGGATTCAACGCCACCAAAACACAAACCTGTATTTTCTCTAGGAAGGTGGAACAATGTCTGGTACTACCAATCCTATCAAGACCACTATATCAATACTCGGTATTTTCATCAGCAATATACTCTTTTATGGAAAAATCATGTCCTATCCATGGCAGAAGCTGCTCCACAAAAACTGGGATTTTCATTCTGTGCGAAATCTACTTCACACCTCAACAGCTCCACATGATCTACAGAGCACAGATACGGCCATCTTATTTATTTTTTATTTATTTATTTATTTAATGAAAATGGGATACAAATAGGCAGAAGCCCAAAACTGCATCCACTAGTTACGCAGAATACTCTGATGCTTACATTTTACAAAGTTAATATCACAATAATATTAAACATTCAGTACCTGAAATTAAAACAAAAATAAATTCCGAATTCAGATCAATCAGACGAATATATGGTTTCTAATGAGTGAATGATGTACAATGTATATCTACGTTGCTGCAGTATTTATTAAAATTATCACTCATTCTACTCATTGGCGAGTTCAGTCCCAAATTGGTATGACAAAAATTGACATTTAAAAATATTTTTAGTCTTGTGGGTCTAGATGGTACATGGAATGATATGAGCGATAACAACAAGTCCAAAAGAGCGTCTGGTTTGGTTAATACTCTCTACAACGAATGAATTGTTCACTCTAAAGTTCAGAAATCTCACAAAATTATTTTGAACTCTCTCCAATCGGACTTTGTGGTTGGTATAATAAGGACTCCAAATGACACTTGCAAAACATAATCGGCTATATACGTAGGCATAATATAATGTTTTGATTGAATTTTGAGACCGAAAATATTTACAAGTTCTTTTAATAAAACCTAACATTCTATTGCATTTGTTAGTAACATAATCAATATGCATTGCAAAACTCAATTTGGAATCGAAAATAACTCCAAGTTCCTTAATATAAGATACTTTTTCCAAATGGGTACCATTCAGATTATAATCAAATGTAATAGGGTTCTGATTCCTAGCAAAGCTTATACTGCAACATTTCCTTGAGTTCAAAAATAATCTATTCTTTTTACAATACACATCTAACCTATCGAGATCGTTCTGGAGTTTCATACAATCGTCCAACGACATGATTCTTGTGAAAAGTTTCAGGTCATCAGCATACAACAAAAATTTAGAATCATGGAAGCATTGATCGATGTCATTAATGAAAATAATGAATAATAAAGGTCCAAGATTTGACCCTTGGGGCACCCCCGAGGTAACTATAATTGGGTAAGAGTTAAATCCATTGATACTAATGATCTGAGACCTATTGAATATGTAAGATGAAAACCATCGTAATATATCACCATGCATACCAATTTCAGCAAGTTTCATCAGCAAAATATTATGATCAATCTTGTCAAATGCCTTGCTGAAATCTGTATAGATAGAGTCAGTTTGAATACGATTATCGAGTGAATCTGATATAAACTGGTTATAAATCATAAGATTGGTTTCTATGGATCTTTTAGAAAAGAATCCATGTTGTTCTTCCAGAATTATGTGTTTGAGACTGTCGAAGATTAGATCATATAATATGCTCTCGAGGATTTTACTGAAAATTCAAAGTTTACTGTCTATAATTAGTGACATCTCTTTTGTCTCCAGAATTCTTGTATATTGGTACAAGAAGCGCAGTTTTCCATAGATCTGGGAATTCACCTTCAGAAATAGATTTATTATATATCATTGTAAGAGGAGTGCGAAGACTATATATAGGAGCATTGTTTCACAAAGTAAGCAGGAATATTGTCAACACCACATCCCTTCCTATCATCTATGGAGTTCAATTTGTTGAGAACTATTTCCTCAGTGAGTTCTACTCTATCCAATAATGTAGAGTTGGAAGTATTATTATATGTTAAACGGGTTTGTTTAACAGGTTCGTAAACGCTTTTGAAATATTTCGAAAATAAGTTAGTGATCTCAGAACCACCTGATGCTTCCTCACCCTCAAAAATGACAGAGGAAGGTATGCCAATATCATGCTTACTATTCGACGCAAATCGCCAAAACTTCTTGACGTCCACCAGTATTGCATTTTCAATTTGAGTGAGGTAATTTTGATAATCTTGTGAAATTAGTCGTTCACTCCGCTGTCTCAACATTCTAAACTCAATATAATCATTGTAATTCAAGAAACGTTTCCATTTTTTATGTATTTTGACCTTTTCTCTGACGCAATCAATGGTTGTATTTGAAAAATGAATTGGAAATTTCCTGTTTTTAGTAACTACTTTGGGAACAAAATCCTGTATGCATTTCCTTAGAACTTCGTAAAATTTATCGATAGCACAGTTTAAAGATAAGTTAGCAAGAATATCAATCCATATGATATCATTCAAGTGATTGTTAATCTCTACATAATTAGCTTTTTTAAAATTGTAAAACTCATTTTGATTTCTCCATAGTGCATTGATTCGTGAAAACTCGATATGAAACTCAATAGGTGGGTGATGAAGGTCCAGTTCAACTAAAGACAGGTCACTTCCAATTAGATTGGAAACTCCATTATCCAAATTACAAAAAACTAAATCTAATAGCCTTCCATTATGATTTTTCACTGAGTTGAACTGAAGCAATTCACCAGAGGAAAGCATGTCAATTAAACTCGAGCTTTTTTCATCAACATTAGTAGGTAAGTAAGATAAATTATTCCCTCTATGAACCCAGTTAATGTGGGGCATGTTGAAATCGCCATAAATTAGAATTGGATCCCCCGAAACTCTTTCTGAATAGGTACTGTTCTGGCATATGGGGTTCAGCACCAAAACATATGCTGATGCTCTTAGATTCCATCCAGAGAAGAGCCATTCGCTTGGTTGATGATACCATCACACTCACTAAACCTCACCGTAGAAAAGTCGGCGAACCCTCACTCTTCCATAGATATTTCCACGAGAAATATTCCTCAGAAATCTGTGCTACCATTTCATCACTAGCAATACCAGTCAGACGAACTCGACAAGCACATCCTTGAAATATATCGAACAACACTTTACCAAAACTCGTTCGTCTGTAGAACGGCGAAGCTTTGGAATTCTTTGCCAATGGAAGTATTCTCAAGAACTTATAACCACCAAAAATTGAAGAAAAAATTCAACAACTGTCCCTATCTTTCCTAGATATACGCACAATGTTCTTCGAACATCATAAGAATAGCCTTTCGTGCATCCGAGAGATGAAAAAATACTCAAAGATGATACTCACTTTCTGTTATTCCACTTTTGGAAACACAAATCTTGTGCACATCGTCCACATATTCCTGTAGTTCGGGTGGTAACTCAATCTGAAGAAAAAAAAAAACATCATAATAGTGAAACCTACTTCGCTCATGTTTTCTTCATAGGTGATAATTAGCAGAATCTATGTTAGCAGTGAACTACGGCATTTCTGAAGCAACAAGAGATCTACTATAATATATTGCAAAATTTCCAATTTCACTTAAATTTCTACTAATCAGTTATTGTCTTGATTGAAAATAGTACATATCAAGTCCAGGAAATACGTTCTTTCCGAAATAGACCAGAACCGTATTATAGGTACTGGATATTTTGCGGACGGTTGCAGAAAAAAATGAAAAATAATCATTACGAAATAGATAATTATGACGTAGACAATAACAATAACCATCAGAGATGTACCAATTTTTCAATGAGAGTTCAGATTTGATATGCTGCGGCTGGTGTTTCATAGCCGAGGCGTAGTCGAGGTTATATATGCAACCAGCCAAATCGATTCATAAATTCTGCTGCGTAATAAAAATAGTTCTGTTTCCTTCCTGGGATATGTAATTTTTCCAAAAATTATAGTTTGAAGGATAACAAACAACATATGAGGGGTGCACTGTTTAATCCAGTTTCAATCTTCTCCTGAAGATGCTTACATAGTTAGCGAAACACGTGTCGAGGCGTGGGAAAAAGATTAGGTCAGTGGTGAAACAGTGCGTAGTTGATTATCCTGCTGAAAGTTCCAGTCTTTGATATATCAGTGATGCTTGTACTATGAAGTCAAACAACAAATCCTAAAGTTGTATAATCTTGATTTTGAACACCCTATATCTCTGTAATCATTTCCGATAGATAAGTGTAATGTTTCGATGAAATCAGCTCTTCAGGGAGCAGATTCGTTCCCGAAACGTCCAAAGCTAAGTGAAAATTTGATATTATTTCTATATACCTTCATATCTCTTCTCCAAACCTTTTTGAATGCAAATTGTCATTGACAAGTTAGTGATTTATTCTTTCAGGCTCTCTGATAGGAAAATTCTTTAAACGCTTTGATATTTTGGAGCAAATCATATGATTCTTCCTTGCTACACGTTCATTGAAATAATATTCATATTTCTATTTTATAGAATCGAGGAGAGAATATTCCAAAAAATTTTGAATAATGAATTTACCACCTTCTCGAATAACCTACAGACAGTATTTGAGAAGATTTTATTGATTAGTACTTCTGATGAAATGAAGTCTCTTTCAACCAATAAATACCTGTACCGGCGTTATCTTGAATATTTTATAAGAACAATTCCTTGCCAAACAACTTATTTTGGTGGGATATACAGGGTGGGACATAAGTGCGTCGGAGCTCGATTGCTCGAGTTCTATGATAGCTAAACTCGATTCAAGAACGAATATGAATGAGAAAACAATGACTAGAAATCATTGCCGCATATACAGGGGGCACGGAGAAAAATTTAGAGGGTCAGGATCACTTTTTTTGAAAGAAATGCACTGTATGTTAGCACATTTTTTGAAGCATCCCTGTGATATCCAACAAATCCTATGATATTGTTATATCTCAATCATTTCGATGTGATTGATTTTTATGTCGAAATAATGCAGAGGCATACCAAAAAAAAATCACTGCAGTCACAATTATGAAATTCGAGAGAATGATTTATCAATTCAGAACTTCTGGTGTAAAATCGAAACACCAAAATCTTCTATATCTCAACATCCATATTGATTTTCGTAACCATTTTTGAATTATTGAACTTCGGAAATTATAGGTTGACCATTTTCATCGATACAAATTCTCATTAGTCATTAAAACATCAAAAGTCCAATTAATAATTTATTGAACTTGTTTTTATATTGAGAGAGTTGATACCAAAATTAGAGCAAACAGAAATAGTTCATATGCTAGTTATTCACAAAGTGAAAAAGAACAAGATTTCCATTCTGCATAATTGTGAATTATAATCCTGATTTTGTTCTTGATGTGGTATGAATTTATGGGATATTTTGAAAATGGAATTTTTTCTCTACTCTGTAAATTACTAGCATATGAACTATATCTGATGTTGGCTTTGATTCTGGTTTCAACATTTCCAATAAAAAACAAGTTTACTAAATTAATAATTGGACTTCTGATGTTTTAATAACTGATGAGAATGTGTCTGGATGAAAATGACTAAACTATAATTTTCGAAGTTCAATAATTCAAAAATCGTCACGAATATCAATATGGATGTTGAGATTAAAGATATCCGTGTTTCGATTTTACACCAAATGGCATAAAAATATATGTGATGTTCCATTTGAAAAACTAGATAAAAATCACTTCCGAAAGTTCCGAATTGAACAATCATTTTCAGCCACACTTTATAATTCGAGGGCAAGAAAATTCTTGCGACTTATTTTGACAAAAAAAATAATTATTTCGAAATTATCGAGATATATCCAACAATATTATAGGAGTGGATGGAGCTCACAGGAATGTTTACAAAAAATGTGCAAATATATATATAGGGCATTCCATTTAAAAAAAGTGATCCTAATCCTTCTGATATTTTCTGGTGCCCCCTGTATATGCGGCAATAATTTCTAGTTATGGACCTTGTTGTCTCATCCACATTCGTTTCAGAATCAAGTTTCTAGCAATTATAGAACTCGTGCAATCGCGCTCCGACTCACTAATGCCCCACCCTGTATATCCTGTTGAGAAAAACCTGACTTTCAGATTCATCTTGTAGAATGAGAGACATAGGTATATCTATTTCTATCGAGTATAACTCATCAAAACCTAATCACCCTGTATCTTCATAGAGAGAAAACATTTTTCGCGATGAAAATATTTTTCATTCGAAGTTATGAATTCAATTGTTTATTAAAGAATTGATTCGTTGATACTCACAGAACTTCCCAAACCTAGTAGGACTAAGAAATACAACAAACTCTTGAACAACATTTTCGGGAAACTGAAAAGACAACAATGAATACAATTTCTTCAATATTCACTCTTAAATAGTGAGTACTAAATTACGGTGGAGAAACCTCATCCTTTGCAATTATAAAATAATTCTCTATGTCAACATTGTCAACTAATCAATCACTAATTCTTTAAACACTGCAATTTCACCTGATAATGATAGGAATCCCCCTTAGCCTGATTGACAGTTGCATTTTTTTATTATAACCTCTCTTGGTGAATGAGCCCATTCATTAAAAACAATTAACAGAAAAGCACTGACTGCATGTTTTGTATCCCCTGAAACAATCAATTATCATTTGTTTAATGAAAGTCAATGGCGGAGTATGAGGGTTCATACTACACTACATAGCTAGTGAGGAGAATGTGGAGTGGAACCCTTTGAATCGGTGACTATTGATAGTGTGCCCATATGAAACTGCACGTTTCGAAATAATAATCACCAGTTGTTGCAAAGTCTTTAGATTTCATAATGTTTTGTTGAAGTGGATGATGAAGAAGATATATTTCTCGATGTAAGAGTTGGTATCCCTCTAATCGAATATCGAGTTTTTGACTTGAATAAGTAAACTCTCCATCGGAGATAATATTTTCAAACAAGTGCAGGTAGGTAATTATTCTTTTCCAGTTGATCCGGTATAGGTACACCTAATTCTATGTAGATTATTGGACGAACTTTCCGGAAATCAAGACTAAATTAACCTTTGTACAAGTAGTTTCAATGTATCAAGCTAGTTCGTAATCATTTATTCAATGCTGACATACCCACTTTTCATGTACTAAATTTATGCCAATTAGTAGATATAGATATGGTCTTGAAGCAAAACTTTGTCTAACTCAACAATACCTTTTTCAGACAACTTACTGGTTTAGCTATGGGCAGCAATCTCTCTCCTTCACTACCCGAAATTTTCCTCCATGATGTAGAACTTAACAATTTCCATTTATGTCACAAAATCTATTTCTGGTTTGGATATGTAGATGATTGCTTGATACTTTTTAACGGTTCTTCAGATGAAGTGAATCTTCTTTTGAAGTTTTTGAATGAATTACACCTGGCTATCCACTTCACCATGGAATTAGCAGTTAATAATTCTCTACCATTCCTAGACTTACTATGATTGATATAAATAATGATAAATTCACCTTCTCAACGACCTCACGAAAATTGATATAACTGGAAAGTTCACTCTATTCGCAGATGATACTACTATATTATGGAATAGTAGGAATCCTCGAGATCTGCATCAAATGATATCATCTGATTTGAAAAAGGTGAAAGATTGGTGTGACGCCAATATTCTGTCGTTCAATATATCTAAAACTAGTATAATATCATTCAGATCCTCCCTTGATGAAATCACATTTGGTGATAATCTTATTGAAAGTAGAAATGATACTAAGTTTCTGGGATTGTTGATCGACAAAAATCTGAAATTTGGTAACCACGTCAAGATACTCACTGGTAAGATCTCTTCTGGATGTTATGCGGTGAGAGTGATTTCTAGGGAATTAGGATTCCATACTGCCAAGATGGTATATTATTCACTAATAGATTCCCAATTACGATATGGAATACCTTTCTGGGGAGTGTGCAGTCCAACGTCTTTAAAAACTCTGTTAATTCTACAGAAACGTGCGATAAGGTATTTGTGTAATGTCAAACCCCGAGATTCTTGCAGAATTTTATTTTCCAATAATAAAATATTGACAGTGATTGCGCTATTCATTCTGGAATCTGTTTGCCTGATAAATAAACACAAGTTGAAATTCACTACAACTCCCATCCATCATAACACGCGTAACAGAAATTTCAGTTTGAAACTTCCTCTACCCACAAGAGAGTTCATTAAAGATTCCATATGCATATACTATAATGGTGGAAAAATGTACAACCACTTGCCAGTTGATATTAGATCAGCAAGTCTGAATGACTGTCAATTCAGGAAGAAAGTCAAAAAGTTCCTCTCTGATAGACCCTATTACAGTTTGCAGGAATATTATAGTGATACGTTTGAGTTGTGATATTTTAGTATTTTGTGGTATTTATTTTGACTATATTTTGTCATTTAT